GGACAAAAAAAGGCACGCCGTCTCGTTTTTAAGCCACTTATCGCCAGTTACAATATAGAGCAAATTCATGTTATAGTCATTGCTTTTGAATGCTGGGATTAGGAACAAATTTCATCCTATTTAAGTCTTTTAAATAGGACAGACTCGCACAAAATTATGTGTCCTGTTTAGACAGACGCACGCCAAAATTATATCGCCTGTATACTACAGGGAGGTCATAAACTATACCCCATCTTGGAACAGCGGTACGTCCCTGTATAGGCCTTAGAAGGGAGTATTCTCCCCCTACCTCCCTCACCTAGGCAAGGGCCTGATAACTCCTTTGGATTTCAAACGACTCTTATTCCTTTTTCTCAAATGCACGAGGCTAAGGATATTACAACAAAGTAAAAAGAACATAAATAAAGCACTTGGCAAATTCTCTGGCACTTAAAAACATCCTGTCTTGTACGTCACAGCAAAAACCGCCATTATATTGATTCCCGGATTGCTATTTATCAGATGCTTAAATCTCGTGTAACTGGCATGGACAACAGCTGATTTCTTAAGTATTGTGTGTCGAAGATGATGAGAGAAAAAAATATCTTGAGACAATGTGCGGATACGGACGTACACAGAGCCAGATTTCCGAACTTTAAATGCCTGTATTTTACACCCCTTGTAAACGTGAAATAAAAGCAGTTTCAAAATTTAGGTTTGGAGCCTTTTTAGATATGTCTCCAAGTAAACGCTGTGAAACAATGAATACTGGTTGGGTGATTTCAGAAAAACAGTGTCCAGGAAACATTTAAGGGGGTAGGGGGAGGGCTATAGCGTCTTAGTAGCGCATATCGGCACGGTTTGTCTCTGGGCTACTGAGAAAGGGGGCGGGGAGTGATACAGCTGCTGCTAATAAAGGAGTCTGAATGGCGGTACCTGGATAACACTATAACACTTAATTTTTTGGCTCTTTAACATGAATCAGTTAAATATTGGTCATTCTACACTAACTGAAAAAAAAAATTTGCTGTAGTTAACGTCACAGTAATTTTCTTCGAGAAATAAACGAAAACGGCTTCAAAAAGGCCAATATTATTTTGTTTGGTATATCAAGGATATTTCCGTCATTTTCCGACAATTCCCGATTATTTCAGAAGATTTCCGAAGACTGCCACAGATTTTCGAAGACTACCGAAGATCTCCGAAGACTGCCGAAGATTTCTGATTAGAAAACCAAAAATTTAATTTTCGTCGTTATATTCATATGTCAAAGATATATTATTTTTTACGGTGAATAGATACGCTTTTTCACGAAAACCCCCCAAATACTTAACGGTATTTTATCTGGAAAGAGTATTAAAACGTTAAAAAATTGGCCCAACAGCAAACACTAAAAATCATGGGTAAATAACACTAAAGTCACTAAACACTAAACCCCATTCAGACTGTATATAATAAAGGTATAAGAATACCATGTTGCCAGTGTCACGATGACTTTGCACATGCATTTGCATTTGCACGTTACGGTACAATTCGCATCAATTATCACATTTACGAGCAACCACGGACTGATTAGTAAATGGATTAGTTTGAATTATTACTGAATCATCTTCTTGTTCATTGACCGTACACAAGCCAGCGAGTTTCAAGGAAACCGGGGGGAGGGGGTACGCGGACAATATTTGGGTCTCAATGGGTGAGCCGCTTAGGGTTTGAAAACCTGACCCAGTTTAGGACAAAAAAAATTCTAAAATACATACACTGTTTAGGAAAAAACACAAAATGCACGCTGTCTTCTTTTTAAGCCACTTTCCACCAGTTGCTGAATACTGAGCAAATTCATGTTATGGTCATTGCTTTTGAATGCTTGGATTACGAAAAAATTTCTTCCTATTTAAGTCTGTTTATGATTAGGACAGACTCGCACAAAACTGCTCTGTTTAGACAGACGCGCGCGAAAATTATTTAGCCTGTTTACGACAGAGAGGTCATAAACACTTAACTATGCCCGATCATGGACAAGCGGCACGTCCCTGAATGGGCCATAGAAGGGAGTATCCTCCTTCCCCCCACCCCCTCCTCACTTGAGCAAGGGACTGGTAACTCATTTGGACTTCAAACGGCTTTTATTCCTTTTTCTCAGATGCACGAGGCCAAGGATATTAAAACAAAGAAAAAAAAAAGACATAAAAACAGGAAATTTGCAGCTGTAAAGCACTTGGCAAATTCTCTGGCATTTGAAAAGATCCAGTCTTGTACGTCACAGCAAAAACCGCCATTATATTGATTCACGGATTGCTATTCATTCATCAGATGCTTAAATCTCGTTTTAACTTGAGAACAGCTGATTTCTTAAGTATTGTATTTCGAAGATGATGAAGAAAAAAATATCTTGAGACAATGTGCGGATGTTTCATCGGAGGACCAGACCCTTTTCATAATAGTCATAATAGACACTGATTTTTGCCACTCAGTCGGGTGAGTAATTGTAATTGGCCGGATTAAACCTCAGTTCATTTGGCCAAAGCAGCTTTTACCCGCAGGAACTGAAACACATGCAATATTACGGATAACTAAAAATATCGTGGAAAAAATTATAAACTTACAGTAACTGCGTGAAATAACGGTTCTCATCGCGTAATTCACAAGTTGTTATAATTAGTGATGTTGGGAACATCGATTTATTATTCAAAACGTACCTTGTATGCGATGGAGTTAACTTGTAATGATGCACTAAATCCCAGTTCCTTGTAATAATGCATATCCCAATTTAAAGCCCAGAATGTCCCTTATTCGAAATTAAAACTGCTTGAACTCATAAACATTTGTGTAAGTAATGATTAAAAACTCACCCACCCAAGTTTGTTTTTTCTTCCTTTCTTTTTTTCTGTCATTTCCTCGAACGGCACTACAATCATCGAGCTTCTGTTTTTAATTTCACTTAATTCATTTTCCACTTTTTCCTTTTTTATTTCTTTTCAAAGTTTTAACGCTGAGATAAGTGAAAAATCAATCTCCCGAGGTATTAATGTAGCTTGTAATACTAATAAGAATATTTCTAAGAATCTGGATATTTGCTTTAATTTTGCCCAATCATGTTGAGTAACACTATTTTTAATCTGAATATCCGTACTGAACGGCGTTTAATGGCCTTATATACTATTTGTGCTTTGGCACCGGACATGGCAAGAATACCTTGGATATCATCGTACGTAACCCCGGGGGGGTACTCGCAGAAAAATTGGGTAGGGGTGTGCGGCCCGCTTCCCAAAACCCTTACCCTATTTATGACCAAAATCTGCGATTTTCCCTACCCTATTTATGACCTAACCAAAAATTTTATACCCTATTTATGACCTGACCCTTAAATCAATACCCTGTTTCAGACCTGCCTTATAATTATTTCCCTAGTTCAGACCAATGTTAAAGGCAATGTTTATCTGCTTTTATTAGGTAGGTTATAATACTACAAAGTTAAGACTACAGTGCAAAAATCGTTACCCTATTTATGACCAAAATGGCGGCAAAATAGCCAAAATCGATACCCAATTTATGACCAAAACGGCTGAAAAATCCTACCCTTTGGGGCCGCACATACCTATATAGCCCATATTAGGGAGTACCCCCCCCCCCCCGGGTACGTAACTATCGTATCAGATCATGATCCAGCGATCGCCATGCGCGCAGTTTTCATAATCCCACGTGTTCCCACACACGACCCACGATATGTAATCTCAATCGCCATCAAGTGTCTTCGAGCTATTCTCGCCTGCATTTTGCTATTTTCACCCACATTAAGTATAAACATGTCAGCATCATCATAGCTATCAGTATGACGCCAGGGACTTCTGGTATTTTCAGAGTCTCTGTAAAACGTCTTGCCAAATATCATATTTTTAGTATTATAACGCTAGCAACTGTCTACAGGTACAAGGAATCAAGGACAGTCATGGCAAATGACTGCGAGAAAGAGAAGTATAAGCCACATTGTAGTTTTGGTTACGCAGCCGGCATTGCAAACGCCTGCCAAAAATTTTAGTCGGGCTCTGAATAAACTCAAAACTGTGTGACGTTTTTGAAGTTGCCGATTCGTGAAATTCCAAGTCTTCCACTCCTTTTAAAATGCCCAAGTTGCCATAATCTGTGACCAGCGTACTAAGTGGAAATTTCCTTTTCTACACTGCTTTTAGGTCGAGTCCGCCTATCTTACCATAGCTAAATCCGTGTAAGGCTATAGCTTGACGAATGTTCAGCGGTATTTTTTTGGCTGTCTTAAGTTTTCTATTTTACTAAAAACAAAACGCCACTACATAAAATATCGCGAGCGGTCATTGTTTTCCCATCGTGAACAAAACGCAAAAGTAACAACATATGAAATTTACCGCTTCGAAAATAAACGCATGGATGATACTAAATAATGTTAATTTTAGTCCGTAATGAAGTTGTTTTCCTGACAAACTTTTTAAGGGAAAAGCAAATATATGCGAGCTTTAAAACATGAATACTACATAATGCCCTTTTAAATCTAATTTTAATCAGTAAAAAGAAACCAACGACTGTTAGTCAGTAATAAACTACAGTTTATAAATACATAAACAGACCGAAGAGCGGCTAGCTTTATCTTTTTGACCCTGATAAAAGCACCCATTGGTTAAAAAAAAACACCGTTTTCTCCATTTACAATGTAATTAATAATGCAAACTAGCATTTTCATTTTTTAAATAGAAATAGGACTTTCTACGTTCTGTGTATGACGTCAAGCCTTCCCACTATGTGGTGTAACAAACAATATTTTGGCGCGTGACTGGAATTCTTTTCTCTCTTAATTTCAAATAAAACATTGAATTTTCTCGAAGGTTTAGGTCGAGTACTCATCCATAAATCCATTTAACAGTTCATCGAAATATGTCTGACTTCTTTCGAAATCCAAACAATCGTGACAAACGTTAAAAAAACGAAAATTCTCAAAATAGAATCTTTATGGTATTTATAATTATGATAATCGCACATGCCTGACAGTCCTTCCATTGACACACTTTGGATTATTTCAATAGGAATAAAAAGGATCTCCAACACAATCAATAAACCTCTTATTGGTAAGCCGGAAAGACCACCGAATGACGTCAATACTGGGGTGATTGACAAGGGTTAATACGCGATATATGCCAATGTTAGGTGCAAAAATCATGTGTTTCTTGGCTCGTGACAGAAACATCACAAATCATCACAAAACATCAAGGAAAGATCTTTCCATCTCGTTATCTCTACGATTAAGGGAATTTTCGTCGTTTGCTTGGCGTATTTGTTTGTTTTCCCTCTGCCAATAATAGCTGGACCAAATCTAGGAGGGCTAACTGATGACCAGTCAGAGATAACCTCTCAAAATAGTATATGTGAGTGGGATTGAGTTTCTTGAGACGTGCATTGGTTATAATTTATCATCAAGAGGTGAAAGATACAGCGAGTGAAATACAGTCGGCCGGCTGTTTCAACGCACGAAAACAGCAGTTTCCCGACCGGTCCCGAGAGGTCCGAGAGCTGAAGAGAGTTGGAGAGCCCCAATATACGGCGAAATGGTTTCTGTAATACCTCAGTTGCCACGGAGCCCAGTCGAAAATGGCATTCATTCAGTGATTTTGCCGTCGCAACGAAACAGTTTTCGACCTAAGAAAAAACTGACGAGAGTCGTTAATGGACTGAGTAACAACCAGCACTTAACAAAACAATTTAATATTCCACCAGAACTTTTTTGGACGTCGAAAAGGAACTCGAAAAAACATAATTTCACTATTCCACGAATAGTCATCGAGAAAATAGAGGATGAAAGACCTTGGGACTTCGCAAACTCACCGAGGAGAAAGATGGGTAGTTTCACACGGCCTGGGCTGAACTGTAATAAAAATTTTCTTCATCCCTCTTACACAGTTTGCGCTGCGGTTTCGGCGAACGACCCCGGCGCCCTTAAGAATATTATTCTCTCGGGAGCTGTGAATATTGATCAACTTTGCTCGAACGGGGCTTCGGCATTACACGAAGCGGCTTACGACGGAAAAGTCGACTGCGTGATCGCGTTACTTCAGTGCGGGGCCGATGTGAATAACGAAGATGGCGAGGGATGGACACCGCTGCATGCAGCCGTGTGTGGCCAAAGTATACAATGCGCTGAACTTCTCGTTCGGCGAGGAGCAAATGTGAAGGCGAAAACGGACGATGGACTTTCACCGTTGGCAATCGCCACGCAACAAAAAGACACAGAAATGATAAAACTTTTGACTTTAGTTTCCAATCAGCCGCACAAAGTGGACAAACCTAAACGCTCGTACAAGCAAGCGAAAGAGTTTTTTGTGCCCATATTTGTTTAGCATAATTTTATTGCTGACATTTGCTGCGCGCGTGGGATGTAGTGTTTGTGAGCGAGGGACATGTATTCAAAATTAAAAATGCGTTTTTGCGCAAGCATTATGTTAAAACTCGCAATAATTCCGCTTGGCGCCAATTGCTTCCACGCCTTCGTCACTTTTTAGTCGCTTCCTTTTTCGCTTGCGAAAGAGAGAAAGAGGATCAAATTAAGGATGTAAAATAGAACTGACGATGCATGCAAGTAATGGCTTTGGGTAGCCACTTTACGTCAAGGAAAGCGCGTAATTTGCACCGTGACCAGGTGACTTGAATGATCCGGTGACTACACGACTACAAGTTTAAAACCATTAAAACTTGATTTTTTACAAATTTTACCCGGAGGAAGCTGAACACCCATGGGTAATGCTAAAAGGTAAGAAAACCTTTACGATCTTTCCACAATGAAAATTGATTTTAAGAGAGAATCGCTGAAATAAAAACAAGGAAACTACACACAAATTCGTGACTCACAATCCACTACGTATTGATTACGTAAGGAAGGAACAGAAAAGAGTTGCTATATATATTTTTTGAAAAAGATCCTAAACTGTGAGTGAGACTGAGATAAATCAGCAGATTTTTTTTCTCAGTAATTATGTACAAAAAACGAAGCTCTCCGCTTGGACGTATCGGCCGCGAATAAATAATCACCTTGACACAAAACAGGAAATTTTAGTCTTCTCCTTTTTGGTGCGAAGATACAATAATATTGTGCAGTCTATTTTTAATAGAACACCAGATGTTTTTCTCGCCAAATTTAGAAAGTTTTCCCTTGAAAAATTCACGATAGGTAATTAAGGTGACTTTTATGTTCATTAAAAAAAGTTTAATTTACCACCCTAGTTTATATTTGTTGCTGTTCAGCTGTTTTTACTTTTCCGTAGCTGAGTATCGTTGCCTAGCAGCTTCCTTTTTAGCCAGACAGTGTTTTAAGGTCGCAAATCACCTCTCCATTTTGAAATAAAAAATGCATTGATTGTGCATTAGGGTCTCGATAAAGTCTTGTAAAGTGAAAGTACTCATTTTATAACTGCCCATTTGTTTATTTTAATCGAACGACACACTGGCTAAAAACGTACTAGACATCCTCAAAATAAAAATTGAAGTCTTTCGCAGTTTGCCCTAAGATTTAGACCTTCGTTCCCATGGCTCTCTAAGCTGGACTCTTGAAGAATTCTTTTCGAAATTTTGCCAGAAGGCTTTTGAGACATATTTCATCACTGACCAAGTTTCTACTAAATAACTCATCTCCAAACTTTCTTGTTGTTTCAAAAAAGCAGTGTAAGTTATGGCAAATTCTCTTGTTAAAAAAAAATAACACACATTAACCGTGACACTGAAGCCGTGAGCAACTGCACGAAGATTGTTTTTGGGCAGTGACTGCGTTAACTTTTATCTTAGTGTTTACAAGTGACCCTCGACCCCAAACGTACCCTCACCTCGGAGCTGTCACGCGCTTTTTGCTCCCGGCAACAATGAATTGTTCTTAGTTCGCACAAAGATAATTATTTAGAATGTTTTGATCTCGAGGATAAGAAAGATAATCGAGTGTTTGGCACGTAAGAAAAAAAAATTTGGTACACTGATTTTTTTTAAGAAAGAAAGAAAACAAAGAAAGGAAACCATGCTTGGTTGAATTTGTAATGTTTATGCCAAACGTGTGTTTTACTCTTTATCCCCTGCATAAATCAGCAAATAAGGATTACTAATGACCACTAAATGCTGCATGATTCGATTGCCATTTTAAATGTGGTCACGTTTTAAGAGAGACATAAATCAAATCCCATGTTTTACCTTGAAAGATATCCTTATAACATTATAACCCACACAATAATCGACAATGGAACATCTTGTTGCTCAAATTCAAATATTTCAAGTTCAAAAGGAGGCTTAAACTCCTGAGACAACAAACCCAAAGTGAGCGAATGGTTAGTCACTGAGCTCAAGCAGAATTTTTTTTTTTAAGGTTGCAATACCGACACACAAAGACAGCTTTGATAATGAAACTGGAGGAGAATTTATTTTGGTAATGATCAGTCTAAGATAAAATTTACAAATAACCAGGCAACGCACAATATATCAGTGTCAAATTCGGCCGTCGTTTATTTGGTGACAAAAGTTTTTGATGTTTTTTTTTTCTTTTTTTAAGAAGAGATAAGCGTGTCCTACGCAGGTCAGACAGGATAAGCTTACGAGGTAGATTATTCCAACGTTTGCGTTTGATTCTATCTTGATAAGTGGTCACTGAATGATCAGCGCACTTCACTTCCAGATAATTCCAGCAGTTAGGGTATCCCAAGTTCCCCATCCCTTGCATCAGTTGGCTGGACTATTGACCAGCTCGACTCCCAGAAAACTCTGTAAAAACCGCATGACGCGTTTCCACGGGGGTGGTCAACCGTCCAAACATCGCTAATGCTTTTATCTACGCGTTAGATGTAAAAACCGCCTTATGATACAAAACTAATTAATTCTCGAGATTATTCTCTTGACTTAAGATTTCCTTCGAGCTTTGAGGATCGGAAATCACGTTTGGGAATTCTTTGCCACCCACTTTTAAAGTAGAGCCGGCCTGGCTCGTTTGTTCATGATATTGCTTGTTAAGGATTTGTTGATTTGTTGGCATATCTTGGTATTCGGAGATGAAGAGACAAAATAAAACACTTTTATATTGATGATGTATTAAGCAAGCCCCCCAACACCTTTTGCTTAGAACCACTCATGGATCAGCCGAGTCTCCATCCATCCAGACCCTGCGTGTGAAGCATAACTTGCACTGTCGTTTGAATATAAATAAATCACGAAACGAGAGTGTTTTCTCGACTTTTTCACAGCTATTAGATTTGCAGTTTGCAGGGTTCCTTTTAGAGACTGAAATGACAGGTTTCCCTATCCAGTATCCCACTATCCCTTTCATATGGCTTCAACGAGTGAAATCCCTACTCTTTCATTGACCTGAAGCCTGAAAAGAAACTGTGCCTTGTGATCAAGTTTTACCTTCACTTGTCTTCAACTGTTCCTTTCTTTTACAAAACATAAGTAGCTAGTTTCACGTTATAATCGTTTCAGACTCTTTTCATCTGCTCAGTTTTCCAGTTTGAGAAATTCGCAACTTTACTCTGCCGTTTGCCGTAAACTTGATTCTAAATCTCTCTATTATCGAACAGAGACAAGCACCGAAGCAAACGGAATTGGGGAAGGTGAACTATTTCCAGCAAACAACAAGCTAGAACAACAACAAACATGGCTATCCGGTCTCTCTCACGTCACTTGCATGGAGTAACCTTCTGGTGTCAAGGTCATTCGAAAGTCTCTCTTTGATTTCTATCCTTGGTCACGATTGAACGAACTGAACGGAAGAAAGGTCATATTGCTCGAGGCTACATTATTTAAGGTCGTCACTACGCAAGAAAACACTTGCTGCTTGCTGAATCATTGAGGCTGCCAATATCAATAACGATTGTCGGCAAACACTAACAACTTATTCATGTTTGTGTTAAACAATAACGACGACACCAGAAGCGTAAAAACAAAAACAGAACGTGTGAGACTGTGATGACAGTGCACTGAACGGTTTTGCTCGTCACGTTCAATCGTGAGCCCTAACTCCAGAGCTCCATTCCTACAATAATATCTAGTATAGAATCAACCGTGTCCATGATTTCTAACGCTAACATCTTACTGTTGTCGCACGGGCTAAATCAAGGATCGAGTGCCACTATATAATTTTGAAACAGTATTGAAAACCCCCCTCTTCTTATGCTATCAATCGTGCAGCTGTCGTCTAATTGGATTTCTATATCAGCATCGTCCTGCATTAGGCGTCAGGGGTGGGGGGCGATTTCGTTCACTATATTCCAAGATCGTGAAACTGCTTAGCTTAGAAAAGTTAGTGAAGGTTAGTGAAGGTTGCTCTGTAGGACATTACTTTCTAGGCGGAATAATCTTATGATCGGCCTTTCTCTAATTTTCAGGACGTCCTTTTGCGTCCTTCTCGGCATTCGGAGGTGATTATAGAATACGAGGGGTCCCTTATTTTTCCTCAGCGATAGTGGGGTGGCGAAGGAGGTTTGGGACTACTTGTGACCCAGACTTTTAAGAAGTGAACTTTTTTGAGCGACGAAGTCGCGAGAACGATTGTTTTGCGAAGTGGCCAGAAGTTTTCCCTCCTATTTTAGTCAACCTGGGTGCACTTCTAGAAAGTGTACGTCACTCTTTACACTTACAAGTTCAACAAACTAGAGAATACTAAGAATCATTAATCACGTCAAAGGCAAACTGTAAATTCAAGTCCAAAAAAACAATCAAATTGGTAAATGAGCAGATTCTCTCATGTAGATAAAAACTGCTCCCCCATACCAAAAAAATAAAAAAGGATGAAAAGGCATGGAACAAGGGAAAAGGGAAAACTAAGTCACGTGAAACAAATTGCGTTTGCCTGTTTGACGTAATCGTGGTTAGTGTTTCGAATTCACCACAAGTTCTCTTCCATTTATGAGCAAACAAAGATCCTTTCGAACATTTTTTTTCCTTTTGCCGGTAGACGCTATTCGAAGGGCATTGCGTAGGTTATAATTTTAATTTCGTTAAAAGGAAGTGATCGTGACGAAAAGCCTTTCAACGCTATCGAGAAAAGTGCTTGAACCGTTGTGCTACAAGAGGTTTATTCTAGACTATTTTTAACACGTTTAGTTCACTGAAAAACAAAACAAAACCTACAGTCACGAAGAAAACAAGAATTGATATTAGACGTATACCATCCATTGATGATCTGTATATCAGCTCTCTTATAACGGTTGAACGTGCAAACTTTTCAGGAATGTATTTATTATAATTTGTTCAACCCCAGTAGTTTACTCACAAAACACAATTTGAAGTATATCTTAGACACGTATCAAAGCTTGCTAGAGTAGAATTGAATCAGAATTTCCGTTCTCTGTACATCTCACAATTCTCAAATTTTTTACCAAAATCACAGTAGGAGCTGAAAGAGGAACCACACTAAAAAGAAGACAAGCCTTACGAAGGTGTTATAAGCCGGATTAATCCCGACACGTTTTAGCAGCAATTTTCCCCATTATAAGGTATACGAGTTTTCTTGAATGCCTGATATGTAATACAATAAAACAATGGGACGGGGATACTCTTTCCTTGCTATTATATTTTCGTGGCTAGCGGTTTCGTACCGGCTTGGTTAAAAAACAGGGGCACCCAACGACAATTTTCGGGAAAATATCTGTTCGGAAGACGATTTGAAATCTAGCATTTTCGAAACATTTGTTGTAAAATTTCTTGCTTGCCTGCCTCTCCTAGGATTTTCGAACATCTAAAAAATGGTATAATTGCCTATTCTTAACGGATTTTTACCCTAAAAAGGTCACCTAGAGTTTTCGGGAGCCTTTTTCCTGGCTGAAATTTTCGAAAAGGTAAGTTTTGATCCCTATAATTTTCGGATCACTAGACTTTCAGCTAGGAAATCCGAACAGATGAAAAATTTTTAGGGGATAAAAATATGCCTATATCTACCGTTTAAATACTAAAATACGTTTAACAATTCTATGTTTAAGTGGTTTTGAACTATATTCTCGTTGGGTGCCCCTGAAAAAATATACATCACCGGAATTTTCAGTTCTAAAACGCCTTTATGTTAGTTGCCATTGTATTGGTAAAGGATCAATTTGTTAGAGAGAAGTAAATACTTCAAACGTTTCTTCGTTAGACACAGGAAAATAAATGCGCCATTGTTGTTGTTAGACACCAGTGTTGTTGTTAAGCAAATTAATGCCCCATTGTATTTGTAAGACACAGGCAAATTAATGCTCCAGTGTATTTGTTAGACACAGGCAAATTAATGCCCCAGTGTTGTTGTTAGACACAGGCAAATTAATGCCCCAGTGTATTTGTTAAACACAGGCAAATTAATGCCCCAGTACATTTTGTGAGACACAGGTAATGCAAATTAATGCCCAGTGTATTTTGTTAGATACAGGCAAATTAATGCCCCAGTGTATTTGTAAGACAGAGGTAAATTAATGCTCTAGTGTGTTCGTTAAACTTAGGCAAATTACGGTTTTTGTTAGACGCAGGCAAATTAACGCCCCAACGTATTTGCTGTATTTGTTAAACACAGGTAAATTAATACCCCCAGTGTATTTGTTAGACCCATGCAAATAAGGATCTATTCTGCGCTTGAAAAATCACTCAGCATGCCTGTATATCTAATGCTCAGGTTTACAGATATTTCCTGAGGAAAGATCCGGATTTTTTGCAGCCCGGCTTATATTTACATGCATCGGGTTTATAACACACAAAGCTTAACATTTCTACGAGTAAAATGATTGTCCTGTTCAAAGCCCCTCGGCTTTATTGATGGTAACGCCATAATGTTTAAAAGTTTCATTAGCGACTGAGCTGGTCCTCATAACCGGCTTCTGAGCTTCAGCGAACATTAAGATCAAGATCGATTAGCATTCGTTTTCTTTAACGTTTTCTTTATGTAAAGATTTGTAGTTACTCACCTTGCGGCCGTGATAGTAATTATTTACCTGTTTCAGTGAAGATGACAAAATAGCCATCATGTGCACA